AAATATTTTATAAGTAACACTACATAAAATTGGCGTTGAACTTACAGTAATTTCACATTTCTGGCCATTGATTATGTGGATTTTCCCATGTTCCAAACATTTATCTGCGGAAGGTTTGCTTTCGAAAACAACAAAACCAAGTCCTCTAGGATTGCCCAAAATTTCAACTTGCTCAACAGTCCCGAAATTGTCAAAATACTGTCGCAAGTCATCAACAGTGTGCCATGCCCAATGTATTCCTGAAATAAATACCTTCAAAACTGAAGAGGTATAACCATTTGTAACACCAAAGAATATTACATCATTTATCTCTCCAAAGAATTTTACCTGATAAGGATAACTTGCATCCCGGATCAGGCTCAATTTCTAGGAACGATGGAGGATGATTCGGAAGGAGGGGTGACATCTGTTCACGAGGTATAGCCCGCTTTGGATCAACCACCTAAACAAAAAATTTCGTAAACAAACATAAGCATAAAGCTTGACACAATAATATACATACACTGAGAACAATTCCTAAACGTCATCTGACAGCAAATGAATACATACCTTATTGTTTATAGTGTGAGGTCTGTCAGCCATAGCAGCCTCAGCCATTTGTATAGTTGCAAATGTAACAAATCCAAATCCACGTGAATACTTTGTCTGTGGATCCCTGATAACTATACAGTCCACCACAGTACCCCATTGTGAATAATACTGCCGTAGCTTCAAAATACGAACTCTTAGATATATAAGTATAGGACGTCGTTCATCCCTAAATGGGCCGAAAACCCAGCAACCTTCAGAAAAACCTATAGTGGTAGTTACTCGTGATTTTAAATACATTTATATATTCTACAAGGCATATTAGGGATTTCGAAAAACTTTATAACCAGATTTTGATTCATTCGGGAAACATCATCCTTAACGACTTATTAATAACCATAATCAGGTTGCAACTCATCTGCATGTGAATAATACCTGCTCGTCGGTAGTTTCGTGACTCAAACCACCAATAAATAACTTTCGGGGCTGAGGTGGACATTCGCTGTTGTAATGTCCTACCAAAACTCCATTTCGATGTAGTGGTGGGAAAGTATTTGGCGTGAAGGGAGGAAAAGGAAAAGGATGAAGTGCAGGGATGTAAGACATGCGTGGAGCATTAGGAACACTCTGTAGCGACATAAACATCGGATGTGGGACATGCACTCCTCCTGAAATTTATCTGCTGTAATGACATTCAAATTCATGGCAAGTTCTAAATAGAGAATAAGTGATGACATAACTTCAAATAAATAATTCTAAAAACTTTTAACTCCCAAAAACGACATTTAATGGATGAAAGAAAAGGGAGGTTCAACTATTCCACACATATTAAAACCAACCAGAAGAATATACAGGTGAAAACATATTGGATTCCTTTCAATCAGTTGACCAGTAGACACTTTCTGAGACCAGTACTGAAATTACGAATATCTGCACACCCTTGTGAAATTACAATGTCACGTACACGAGCAGCGGTTTGAATTAATCTTAAATTACATTTTATGGGTTTCAGAATTACGAATAGAAGGACCTCGTTTCGTTCCCTTACGAGATCATGACCCTAAGATATGAAGCAGAGAATCCAACTGGACGAAGTCTGATCGGAGTTATGAAATGGAAGAAAGTGAACCTTTAAACATCATAGAATAAAACTGAGGGGGCTCTAAAATCGTTTAAAAATGGAAGCATTTGCGTGGAGTGTGATAAAAAGCGAGTGTCCAATAAAATGCTGCAGTGAACACAAACACTAAAATAACAAGCAATATACAGTGAAAGTTTTGCTTACGAAACTCAGGCTTATACTATAAGCGTGAGTTTTCGCTTTTTTTCTTCGTCAGATGTTATTTCGAATTCAGCACCGAATTCCATGTGGGTTAACAAAATATCTATCGATAAAGTGAAGGCGGGGAAATGAAATCAGTGGAATCCAGTCTCACGTCTTAAGATAAATGGTGTCCCAAAATATGTCGGTTCCTCTAATTCTGAACAACCAAATACAAATTGCACATGAACAGCTGTCCTCATCCGGTTATCCAGCTCGAGATTTACCAACCTGCCACCGTACCCAGTAAAATGCTGCGGGATATTGGACGTATTATTTTGTTGCAGCTCAAAAGCTGAGTCGGGAAGAGAACGGAAGGTTCGGAGGGATTCTTCCTAATTTTCAATAGCAATGAAGTTTTCTTAGGAAGCTCCGTGAGTCACTAATGCCCATACAAAACAGTTCGAAAAAAAGAAAACACATCGCATGGGTATGATAATGGATTTAACAGGAGATACAAGCATGAGACCCGGATGACGATATATTTGAGGTTATTAATTAGCTGCATGAGACTTTCCAGAATCCATCTTCAAGGTGTGTTAGATTTGTATAGAAGTTCTAAAAGTTTGTTTTGTATTTTCCGCTGCAAGTTATGCATTACATGTATCTGTAACTAATCCGAACATTTCCTCACTGAAATATTCCAACCACTCAAAGAACAGAAGTATAATGTTGGTGAAATATCGCCGTCCACTTCCCTTCTCACTAATGTCTCTTTAAAACATGCTGGATTCAGGAGGCGTGAAAAAACTTATGAAAACGACCAGACGCTCCTTATCATAGGTCAAATGGATTTCCAAAAGTACTGCTATTTTCAACAGTTCAAAGAAAAATTCAAGGAAAACCCAAAGGATGGTGAAATGCAACGGCTAACGAGACAGCAAGATTGCCAAATTCAAAAAGCATTTACTACAAGAAACACTCAAGTCAGCAATCCATAATGATTGATATGTTTTCCGGGCCATACATTCCATGAGAAATTCAGCATTAGAGGTTGGCTGGAAATGTTCATTTCTCTGTTTTTGCAACGCAGTGTCATCACGGAGGATATTTTGGGTAAACCAGAAAAACTGCAAATCTTTCTAAAAACCATTCTAAATGCCGCCTGCAATATTCCCCAATTGGAAGAATATAAAAATCTTATAATCCTGCATCAATCTGACGTAGTAACCAAAATCTTAATTCAATATAGAAGTCTAGTGCTGTTAAACAAGTACATCACAACATACATTAAATAACAAGGCAGATGTTTTTGAACTTAGAAGTTGGAATTCACTGAAAACCCGCTTATAATAAATGACCTTAGTTTGCTACACACGAAACGTCCCGGCACTTCCCAGAAATGCATCCACCTTCACCAATTTAAAGACGAAAAACCTGTTTTTTTGCAACTTCGCATACCTGCCTACTACATTACGCGACACCTGCTTTGGTATAGCAGATGTACGAACCACGTCCTCTTAAGTCTCCTACTTCGACTATAAGATTTTCAAAACAGAAAAGAGTTGATTTGGATTTCCTTTCATTGTCACTTTTTTCCCTTCCTGAACCATTCTACTCCAATAAATTTATTTTGGTCCTCGTTGTGTAACACTACCAGAAATTTATTGCATTGTTCCTGTACAAAACTAGAGACGAGGCATGGTCTTTCACGAAACTTTCCAAGTTTTTTGGAACAAAACAAAGTCTGGAAAAGTTGCACTATTACACGTAAACGATTGAAGCAGCTGCACCGTCATCATGATATGTACGTACAAAATGAATTGTTGGTGATGCCGAATACAAAGACGGAACAGTAATGACCTTTCTTCTCCCTTTCTGTGAAAAGCTTGATGGGTAACATGCCAAGCAACCAAGGCGCCAACAAATTTTTTTTTCTATGTGTGTGAGGTCAGTCCAATCCAACGTCTCTCCCAGCCACTTCCATTATCTTCAATGAATAACTAGGCAACTCCGATCTATGGAAATCTTTACCTCATCCTTAATGTTATTTCTCTTTTGCAAATTCTTCCATATACTCTAAGGAAAACTGCCTCTTTCCCTTGCAAAAATGCTTCAAAATTTGTTTTGCTTAAACAACACACAAACTAAGCATTCCGCAGCACAATTTCAAACTGCTTTCATATCGTACATAAGAAATCGAGCTACTTGCGAAGAAAACTCACTTGGACACCCTATTGATTAATGAGATTCAAAGCAAATGAAAGATCAATGATCACTTTACAAATTAACCAACAATTCCCTTTTCTTCATTAAGTCGAATGATTAGAATTAAAAATCGTGCCTGTCGCAGAAAAAAGAAAAAAGCGGGTAATTTATGCCGTCATCCAAAATAGTCAACCATTAACTAAATACCGCAATGGCAATACTATTCCTCCACCTTAACAACATATGGCTTACAAACAAATCAACTGTGTTGTGTAACTACCTAAACTTTCCGGCCACTTGTATCACATAACCCCTAGATAGCAGTACATTTGTAAGTCCGACAGAACTTTCGCAAATCTCCCGATAAAAATTTACAATGCCAGGCGTTAAAATCGCTCTTTTCAATCTACTCATCGGTCAAAAGTTATCAGTGGTTCGGACATACGGTCTTCACCAATCAACACCTGGTACCACATTTCCAGCTTGCTTGGAAGCTTCTGGACTACATAACCCGTCGTGGTTCGAAACTGTCCAACCGTTGCCACTTCCACACCGTGCTGAAATAAGTATCCGGATACGGGTTTCGTGGAAGGCTTTGTGTGATAAAAGGCGAAATA